GGTTTTTGAGATAATCGTTCTGACCTAATGGGTTTGATTATAATAAATAAATGCATTTAATAAATATTAAATATTACACTTATATATTATATAATTTATTTGTTTATTATGTATTATATCAATATAATTCGGGTTTGGTTTGAATCAGTTTGAGATTTCAGTTTGGGATTGAGTGGAACCGATTCCAAATTAATAATAATCGGGACACTATCAGGACCCAAAACCGACACAATCAGTTCGGGTCCATCAGGTCCATTGGGTTGGACCTGACCCATTGGCAGCCCTGGTCATGCTGCAATTGAACAGCTACACTACCATCTGAGCCACCAACCAATTTTCTTTCTACCATTAAGAAGTTCTGAACCTCCCTATGATCTTATTCACTAAGGCACAATTTGCACCTTCCAAACTGACCAATTTTTTTCCGTACATATTTGTATTTATACTCCTTCCAAACTGAGCCTAAAAAACAAAGTATTAAGATTTTTTTAATTCAGCCACTTCAGCTGTTACCAAACTGCCATGAGCTGGACATGTTTGTGCTCTAAAATGGGTCTGAGGCCCATGTCTTGTGGGTTGGCCCCATACCCGACCCCAAATTGCACATTACTCTACTTTTATTAAACAGAGTTGATACTTGATACTGATAGGGATAAGAGAAAACGTGACAGTGATTTCTAAACAGGATATATAGAGAGAGAGAGAAAGATAGAGAGAGGGAGAGAAAGAGAGAGAGAGTTTGGAAATTTGAACTTGGAAGTGATTTTAATGTGTTTTATTTTTCTACATTCTTAACTAAGATTAAAGGACTATGCATGTTTCTCTATTTGATATTGACCCAAGCCGATTATAAATAAATTAATTTTATAATGTTATAAATAAAAATATATTATAAACGTGGATACAATTTTATTTATTTATATTATAAATAAATGTCTAAATTTTAATATGTTTATGTATATCTGTATTTTATTATAAGCTCAATTAGGCTTATGAGCATCTCGAGCCAAGTATATTGTCGTGCTCAAACTCAATCCAACTAACTATTTGACTTCAATTTGATCATCCTCAAATGATGTTTGAGTATTCAATAAGCCAATTACAAGTAGTTCAACTTGCTTATATGTGAGAAGGGGTAGATGAGAGGGATCCAGTAGCACAAGACCATTGTGGTGGGAATACACAATAGACACCTCGCCTCACACTTTTTTTTTGCATGTAAGGAATAGCTCGCCACGAATTTAACATACAAACGTCAAATATCATGGTTTTTGGAAGTGTGGGTGTTTTTTTGGACCGATTTTCAAGAAAAAATGTTCATGCTTCCAAGACCCGTTTTTTCCACATAGGTAGTGAACAACATTATGCTGTTTGGTAAGGTGATTTTCATCACCGTTTTTCATGTATGTGCTGACAGGTAAGCACCACATACAATATACATCAGTCAACCGTTGGGGGAAATGGTTCACTGATGCATGAAATGCCAAATTTGGTGTTTCATGCATCGGTGGGGTCCTAATTTTCGAGGCATGCCTGATTTTTTAATAATCGGATGAACCAAACAATGAGATACATGGGCGTTTGTTGAAACGTCTATGTGGATCTGACATGACACCATTTTCTTGAGAAACGGCCACAGTTCCAAACATCCCCTATATTTTCACTGTGTAGTTGGATATCATGTTCTCGAGATTTGTACATATTTAATTATTTATTATGTATAAGGAGACTAGCAACTGTATAAGTGCTTTGCACATGGTAATTTATGCTATTGATGATGATACTAATAATATATTTCTAAATTCTCAATATTTTTTTTTATATTTTTGTGTATAAAAAAAATTCCTATTTATCATAGTTATTCTTATTTAATATGATGAATATATAATATTAAAGATGTATTCATATATTATTATTTAATTATAACATATTTACACATAACATAAAGGGTTAACATATTAACCTTGATTGTGGATTTTGTGGTGAGGTTGAGAATATTGATAATCTCTTCATTAAATGCAATTTATCCAAGCAAATATGGATGATTGTTAAAACCATGCTTCCAGTGCCTAATGAGAGTGATACCTCGTTCAATTTATGGTGGACCAGAATTGCTAGAGATCAAGGTCCAAATAATGATCAGTTGTTTATATAAAAATTTGCAATTTTTCTTTGGTTTATCTAGAAAAATAAAAATGATAAATGCTTTAGTAATAAGGCCTCACACCCTCAAATTATTTTTGACAAAGCTTTGAACTATTGGAATGAGATTAAGAATTATACTCTTGCTGAAGTCAATGATTGTTCTAAAATGGAAGTTAATTGTGTGATCTCCCCCCAACCCCAAGATGATTAAAGTCAATTTTAACGCTTCGTACATAGAGCGGTTGGTGCTCCATTGCTTGTATTGCTAGGAACTACTTAGGAGCTATTCTTGATCTTAAGGCGCATTGGTTACACTTCGATTAATTTAGCTGAACCATGGATGTTGTGGGAAGCAGTGAGCATGGCCATTAACTACAAGGATTCCCCAATCATCATAGAAGGTGACTCCAAGCTTGTGGTTAATTGTCTTAGAAGAAAGGTGCAACCCCGTGCAACTTGGATAATATCATCAAAGAGTGCCTCAACGAACTGACGCGGATCAATGCAAGAGTTTCATTCAAACATGTGTATTGTGAAGCAAATCAAGCTACAGGCTGACTTGCTAGAAATAAGGGTTTAACCGAAGTGTGGGGCATTTTTCGGAACCAAAATGGTAGTACCGGTTTTCCAAAAACCGGTAACCGAAACCAAACCGAAGCTAGTTGGTTAACTGGTTGATTGGTTTGGTTAAATGTCGGTTCAGCTCGTCGGTTTTTTGTTTTTTAGTTTTTACAATATATATTATAAAAATATTTATAAATTTATAGTAAAAAATTATAAATATATATAACATTATATTTTAAATAATAAATAATATATTATAAATATATATTTATATATAATGCATATTTATTAATTTATAATTTATAAAAATATAAAATATATATACTATACATATATATATATATATATATATATATATATAATATAGAAATATATGTATACCAGTCGGTTTGGTTAACTACCAATTTTTTATATTGGTTAACTAAAACCAAACCGACTGGTTTGGCTAACCAATTTTTCAAATTTTTTTGCTCACCTCTAGCTAGAAATGCTCAATCTATCACTCTAATTAATGTTAATTGTATCCCGTAATTTTTTTTTTTTTTAATTCTCGGAGAAGAGCTGCCCCCGTTTTGTGTAGCTCATCTTTTGCCTATATAAAAAAAGAATGTTAACATATAATGGTGTGACAATTGGCGAAAGTCACTTAACATTGACCTGAATAATGATTAACTAGTGGAGGGGCCCTACTTCTCAAAGGCTGGAATGAAACCGTCGACCCGTTGACCTTGTCTCTGGCCAAAAAACCGTTGAATGAGTCAATGACCTATTAACTCGAGGGGTTGAACCATCGACTCGTTAACCCATAAAATAGTTTTTGGCCATTTTTTATTTTTTTAATTGGGAACCTCTAGGCAATCAGTTCCGTTTTATCCTAGTCTCGGTCCCTAGCCAAAAAATGTTGAATCGGTCAACGACCCATTGACCCGGGCAGTCGAACCATTGACCCGTTCAATGGTTTTTTGTTGTTTTTTTTACTTTTATTTTTTAATTTATGTTATCAAAACGAGCCATCCGTTTGAACCGAATAGTCGAACCATCGACCTGAAAACCGGTGGTCAAAATGATTCCATTTTCAGGTCGGATAAGTCACACGCTCGGATGACATAACACGTATGGTGCTGCTTAATGGACCTCATACACTCAATTTTTTGCCTATAATTTTTTTTTGTCAAAACGGGTCATCCGTTTTTTTATTTATTATTATTTTTAATTGGGAATCGTCCAAGCAACTAGTTCCGTTTTACCCCAATCCCGGTCTTTGGCAAAAAACCGTTGAATCGGTCAACGACCCATTGACCCGAGTGGTTGAACCGTTAACCCGTTTGACCCGTTCAATGGTTTTTGGCCATATTCTATTTTATTTATTTATTTTTTGTTGTTAGAATGGGCCACTCGTTTGAACCGGATAGTCGAATCGTCGACCCGAAACCGGTGGCTAGAATGGTTCCATTTTCGGGTCGTATGAGTCACACGCTCAAATGACATAACATAATGGTTTTTAAAACCGACCCGGTTAGGGCCCCGGTTACCGGGTCGAACGGTCTGACCATTTTGACAAAAAATAAAAATGGTCAAAACCGTTCGAATGGTTCGATATCTAGTTATTAACAATATTTATAATAACTATTATATATTTATATAATTATCGAATGGTTGGACCGTTATAACAAAAAAATTAAAAAATAAAAAACGGTCAAAACGTTCGAACGATTCGATATCTAGTTATTAACTATATTTATAGTAACTATTATATATTTATACAATTATTGAACGATTGGACCATTATGACAAAAAAAAAAATAAAAAATGGTTATAACCATTCGAATGCTTAGATATCTAGTTATTAACAATATTTATAATAACTATTATATATTTATATAATTAGATAATTATGTATATCTAATTATCTTATATAATTATCGAATGGTTGAACTATTCTGACAAAAAAAAATAAAAATAGTCAAAACGTTCAAACTGTTCGATATTTAGTTATTAATAATATTTATAATAACTATTATATATTTTTATAATTAGATAGAAATGGGCCTGGGTATTTCATTATATATATATATATAATAAGATAAGATGAGGAATCACCTCTAATTTTTACGCTGAAAAGCTTTTTCACTAGATTTAAACGCAACTACATAAAAGATCCATTTTCGAAATGGGCCTGGGTATTCTATTATAGCCTTAACGTGTTTCGTGGATTGGCCATTTTTTATGCGGGCTTTTAGCTTTGTTGAGCTCTCCAAATTTCTACACATTCTACATGGTGCGTAGCCTCCTGGTCTTAGGACTGTTAACGGTTTTTGGCGGGTTTCCAACTTTCGATGTATTTTGCTTTTGACAATCTACATAGAGAACAGACACGAAAAGAACCGACGTTATATTGCAGTCGTATCCCTCAATTTTCCCTCCGACAAACAGTGAAACGCAATACCACGAGACGAACCTGAGTTGTTCTGCATCTCATCTCAGATCTACCAAACCAAAACCTTGAACAGCTTTCAATTTCCATCGATCTCTCTTTGAGAGAAGAGGAGATCCTGACTTTGGAGATGCAACAAGGAGATTACAGCAGCACTCCTTTTTACCAATACCACCAGCCCCACCTTCAAAACCCTAACCCTATCGATCTCCAGCCTAATCCCGTTCCTCCGACCTACGCCTCCGCTCCTCCTTTCTCCTCCAACTTCTCTGCACCTGCGTCAGATTTTCCAGGCTTTTCCTCTACATATCCTCCATATTCGCAGATTCCCGAACCTGTCCCCAGTCTCCCCCCTACTGCTCCTTCGTACGCACAGAACCCCAACTTCCAGTCCTTTAATCCCTCTTCTCAACCTTCTACCTTCCATTCCTTCCCATCTGCTCCAGAACCACAGGCTCTATACGCACCTCCAACCCAGCAACCATCGTATTATCCACCATATGATCAGCATCAGACGGCTCCTAATTACGCCCCTCCACCGTCGACTCCTCCAAACCCTAACCCTAATCCCAGTCCCAGTTCCTCGTTTCCAACGCCCTACTCCGCATCGTATGGACCCTTTGGTTCTTCGGCATCACCCTCACCGCCCGTATATGAAAACCCTTACGAGAGTGGCGTGAAATTTGATCACGGGGGAGGTTACTTTGATGAAGGCATGTACGGCCGGAGTCGATCCGATTTGGGGTCAGGTTTCTTCGAGAAGAGAACGGAACCTCGTTACGATCGGGGTGGGTTCCGTGACGATGGCCTTGGAGAGGGTGTTTATGCTTACGATGGTGGAAGGGTGGAGCCATACGGTGCTCGTGGAACTGGCTCCCAATCATCTACGTGGTCGGCTTTTGACGATTTTGGTAGGTCCACTAGCTTCTCGAGTGGGAAGGACCAAGTGGTTTCCACTAAGATTGTGAAGGCTGTTCCAAAGGCAGATACGCAACAAGATGTGAAGAATGGAGTGCAGAAATTCCGGGTCAAGCTTTTACCAGAAGGCGGAAGTCAGGGCACCACCGATGTTCTTTGCCAGGTATGTGAGGAATGCTTGCCCTCAGTATGACTTTGTCTATGCTGAGCTTCGTTTTTCCTCTCCTGTGTTTTTCTGACTCATGAATCGTGATTGATACTAGCCGACACTCATAGATAAAACATAGCCAGAAAACAATTCTCCAGCAGTAAAACTGGGCTGGAGAGCCGACTCCAACTCTACTTTTCTGAATCAGAGAACTTGATTTTGGTGGAACTGAAAGCGTCATAATTCCTTTTCAAAGCATCAAAGTTATCCCCAGGAGACATTTTTTTTTTTCACGTGGATGCTGAAAACAACAAAGTTGTATTGAGAAAATTCAAGCCGGTTTGGTTATGCTCTATAGATGATTGTGTCTTCAAGCCTTGTTTAGTTACTCCCTTTTAGAAGCACCGGAAGAGAACAAGATTTGATTAGGAATTTCTTAGTTCTAGGCAGATTTATCAGGAGTATGCTCTAGAAACTTTACATTCAGTGTTATGAAATAGTTGCCTGGTCAACCAACTGGTCTATTTAGGGCTGGACCCGTAAGTGACCTGTCATGGAAACACCCGGTTGTGGTGTCAAATAGGAAAGGGTTCTCACATCCTTTTGGACAGGGGCAGGTAAAGAAACTAGTCCAAGAAACATGACTTTGTTTAACCACTTGGATTGTAGGAACATTAACAGGAAAAACTATGAAATTCGTAAACACTATTGAAGGTTGCAAAAAGGGGAAGGAGTGACCTGGCAGCTGAAGAATGATTTCAGAAGGTTCAAATGGATGTCAAGAAATATGTTTCAGGTGGGTTGGGTTAGGAGATCGGCCAACAGCTTGGCTGATAGCTTAGCAAAGCAAGGGGTTCAAAGAACAGATGTTTTGGGCACATTTGTAATTCTGTCTTGGGTCAGCTTCTATGCTGATTTCTTTGTTTCTTGTTGTATATTAAAGCATCTTAATTAATGAAAATTTTCAGAGTTATTGATAAAAAAAGCAAACACCATTGAAGAGGAGAAGGATTAATATTGCATGCCTACAAGAAACTAAATGTAAAGGCAAAAGAGCCAAAAAAAATTAATGGTTACAAATTATGATATACAGGAGAAGTAAATAATAGAAATGGTGTAGTGATGATAGTAGATAAGGATTAAAAAAAATGAAACTATAGATGTTAAAGGATTTGGGGATAGAATAATATTAAGGGGTTATAGCTGATAAGGGCAACTTTTGGGCCCTAATATCAATAAAAGTAATCATTTTAATATAATTTCTAAAATAGGTTAACTTTTTAAAAAATATATCAAATAAGGGCGGAAGTACTGTTCATCTTCTTCCTCCTCCAAACCACTTCCGCCCTAGCCCAACCCTATGAACCTCAATGACCACCATCCACCAGTGCTGCCTCTAGCAACCTTTGGAAACGCCTCCGGCCGCCGCCGCCCACCTCATGTCGTCAGATTGGTGTTGTTGGAGGTGGGTAGAGGTGGAGGCGGCGGCGCTGGTGGATGGTAGTCATTGAGATTCGCAGGGTTGGGGCGGAGGTGGGCAGAGGCAGCGACGTTGGGCAGAGGCAGCAGCGGCGCTGATCGATGGTGGTCATTGAGGTTCATGGGGCTAGGGCGGAAGTGGTTTGGAGGAGGAAGAAGATGAACAGTGTTTTTGCCCTTATTTGATATATTTTTTAAAAAATTAACCTATTTTAGAAATTATATTAAAAGAATTACTTTTATTGATATTAGGGCCCAAAAGTTGCCCTTTTTTGAAAAATAAATTCATCTTAATGGTTGGTTACGAGAAAATCCCCTTAGAGATGCTAGGTGCCGCGTCTCCTAACAACAAATACAGGAACTATAACAGAAATTACATGAATGTTGATGTTAAAACAGGAGTTACAGTTGTGCCTAGAACAATGTTTCCCTATTTATCCCTTGTAACTCATTTTTGTAGCCCCAAGTGACATCCTCCGGATTATTTAGCCAGTCCACCACTGTCTTAGAATCCCCTTCAATCAGAAACTACTCCATGCCCACTTCTTTTGCAAGAAGTATTCCTTGTATTGCAGCAAGCAGTTATGCCCGGATAGAGTTCCCAACACCTAAAGGGCCATAGTAGAGTAAGACAACCTCTCTAGCCTACTATGGCCCTAGAGAGGTTTCTCTAGCCATTCATCAAAAAAAAAAAAAAAAACCCTCTCTAGCCTCATTCCTCAGTACACCTCTCGTCCTAGAGGGACCCGGGTTACCCTGGCTACTCCCATCAAAATCCAGCTTCAAAGAACCAAGAGGAAGGGGGACCCAACTAGTCAATACCCTTACCTTGTAGGAGGAACAACCTGCTACCAATTTCCAATCCTTCAAACAATCTGTAAAAGAGAAATTGTTAAATAACTCTAGAGTCTAACCAATGTATTGACCTGGACATAATGCAGTCATTCAAGGCTTGACTACTCCCTTTTTCTTGGAAGATTCTGGCATTCCTTTCTTCCCATACTGTCCATAACAATGCTGCTCGCGTGCATCTCCACATTTTCCTTCCTCTTTTATGGGGCCAAGAGAAAAAAGAAGGATTAAAGATTGTGCTTACTTTTGCTGGCATATCCCAACTATACGCAAACAAAGATAGAAGCCAAGCCCAGAGCTCTGCAGTTACACTACAAGATAAAAATAGATGATTACAATCCTCACCATGAGATCTGCAAAGAATGCACTAGTTTGGTGAAATACAAAGGACGCGTCTTCTCTTGTAGGTTATCCATCGTGTTTATTTTACCGTGCCACACTTCCCAACACAAAGCCATAACCTTGGGGGGGGGGTCTACATCAGACTTCTTTGGAAGGGAAACTTTGTTGAGAGGAAGTTTGGTAGAGGAACTTGAAAAAGGAGCTACAAGGAAAAGACCCATTGGGGTGAATGGCCCAAATTCTTTTATCAGGTTTCGAGGGATCCAGGGAAACCTTATCAAGAAGACACAGAAGAGTAGATAAACACTCAATTTCCTCATCCCTTAACTCTCTACGAAAACCAAAATCCCAAGAACGCTAACAAATTTAAAATCGACGGAAGGAATTTTGAGATCACCTCTTTTTTATACAAAGAAACAGAGTACAAAGAAGGAAAAAGGTCTTTTAGAGGGAGATCTCCAACCCAAATGTCTGTCCAAAACCGAATAGAATTACCAAAACAAGCATCATACCTGACACAACTAAGGAATTTCCTTGATGCACCAACATCCCAACCACTCTCTGAACCTCCATGAATACTCTTCACTACTTCGTGCCAGAGTCTCTCGCTCCAAAGGCCACCTCCACAACCACTTCCCTAACAAAGCTGAGTTCTTTTTGAGCATATTCCCGAGCCCTAATCCTCCTTCCTCTTTGCTTCTACCCACAACCCCCCAATTAATTGATCTTTTTTACCTTCTCCCGATTCCCAAAGAAAATCTCTCATCAATCTTTCCAATTTCTTTGCTTCCCTAGACGGTATCCTAAAGACAGAGAGGTAATAGGTAGGTAGGTTCATGAGGGTAGCTTTTATCAAAGTGATCCTCCCACCCAAAGAGATATAATTTTTCTTCCACACTACTAATCTCTTTTCGATCTTCTCCAAGACTGGGGTCTAGAACCTACTCTCCCTAGGGTTTGCTCCTAACGGAAGCCCTAAGTAGGACAAAGGCTAGGAAGAAATGGAACACTCAAGACAATCCGCAATCCTCAATCTCCTCAAAGTCTAGATTTACTTCGGCTATGCAACTTTTTCCTAGATTGATTTTCAGATTGGAAACTCCTTCAAAATCTCTAATCAATTCTTTCATGTTTTCCACCTTCTCACCGAAGCCTCCCTCATAGAAGATCATCAAGTCATCTGCAAACTGAAGTTGAGTTACTGGAATTCTGTTTGTGCCTACTCTCCATCCCCTTATCACATCTTCCCTATCAGCCCTAGTGATAATTCGATTGAACATATCAGTTACCAAGGTAAAGAGAAAAGGTGAAAGTGGGTCCCCTTGTCTAATACCCTTACTAGCTGTAAAAAAATCTCTCACCACCCCATTTACTAGGATGGAATAATGACAAGAGTAGACACAACCAGATACCCAACTACACCATCTTTCCCCAAACCCACAGTTCCTTAAAACCTCCAGTAGGAACTACCAATCCACCAAGTCATAGGCTTTCTCAAGATCAAGCTTACAAACAAAGCCTCTTTGCTTGGACCTCTTCATCTCTTCCACACATTCATTGGCAATCAGGTTCTGATCAATTATCTAATGCCCTTGGATGAAAGCCCCTTGAGCCTGACTAATAATGGAGGGAAGGACTTCTTTAATCCTTAAAGATAGGACCTTGGCCAGGATTTTATAGATACTAGTCACCAAACTAATTGGCCTAAAATCTTTAGGATGGATAGCATCAGCTTTCTTTGGAACAAGGGCCAAGAAAGTAGCATTAATGCCATGACTGACTATATTCTTCTCTGCAAATTCATTAAAAAGCTCACAAAGATCAAATTTTATCACCTCCCAACAATCTTGGTAAAAAGCCATTGTAAAACCATCTGGGCCTGGAGCTTTGGATCCATCCATCAAAAACACTGCCTTCCTAATTTCTTCTTCCTCAAAACTTCTTTCCAACCATCTAACCTGATTGTCCTCCAACCTTGGCCAATCTACCCCTTCTATTTCCATCCTTTCTTCCAAGGGTCTTTTGTAAATCGATTTGAAAAGATCTACAAACTTCTTGGCAATATCATTTTGATTAGTGAATGCTTCCCCCCTACCTCTAACTTAGACACAAAGTTCTTTCTCCTCCTCCCATTTGCTACATCATGAAAAAACTTAGTGTTTCCATCACCTTTCTTAATCCACCTATGCCTCGATTTCTGCCTCCAGCTTATTTCTTCCCACAGTAGGACCTCTTCTAGGTCCTTCTTTAATTCTCCCCTCAGATCTCTCTCCCCCTCCTCCATTCTATACTGGGCCTCTCTTTCATCCAACTCTTCTATCCTAGAGATTAAATTCACTTTT